TCAAACAAGTTTATGATGTAATCCTTACTATATAGCCCACCCCTTACCTGATACGTTCACACTTATTCCTTTCAAAGCTTGATGTTGTATTTCAGCAAAATCTATATACATAATAAAATTCTAGTTAGAATCTTATATTTCTATGATTCTATCTCATGAGAATTTAAATTCATTCTGTATTGCTAATCCATTTTTAATAATATTTTAAGCTCACATTCAGCTTACAATTAACTTAGAAATTATCCTATTTTGTAGGCACTTAGAGTAGAAAGAATCCTAATAACAACCATGGACAAGGTTTAGTATTTCGAAATTTGCTAGAGTTATATAAACTGTTTTGGCATGAGATTTGAGCCAAAATTTCAATAACTTAATTACCTACAATATTGATGAAGGAAATAAATTCAAATATCCTATAGAATAGATGCAGTTTTCAGTTTTCAGTGGTTATTTCCAACTGGGCTCAATTACAATAACACTCTGAACATGCCTTGGTAATTTGACTATAACTCATGCTAAACATAAGCTATTAACATGAAACAAATTTCTAAATTTCGGGGATATAATTTACTACAACTTTTATGAAGGAATCCAGTCCTAATTTCATACGTATCAATCCCAGTAATTCAAAAACCGAGGCTGTTGAAACAGGGCAACATCTTAACGTCACAGCTAGAACACTTGACAGTACAATAGGTATAACTTGATCTACCAATATCCGTTTAATGTGAAATCAGTTTCTAAATTTCGACAACTTAAAGAAATACAACTTTCATGAAGATACCGATTCCTAATTCTGTTCACACAAGTCCCAAAAATTCAATAAATAGTACCTACGAATTAGGACTCTTAAAGTTTTTAGTTTAACGACTTCTAATCCTCAATTTTAAGCATCATTCTAGTATTCTAGGTGTAAAACCTACAATAACACTCTTCCTACTTCCATTCAAGCTCATTCAAGTGAGGATAAAAATAGAAAATGCACCGTTTTGAAAAATAAAACGGTAAAAATGTAGAGGAGATTGAGATAAACCAACTTACCTCTTGGAACTTCTCAAGAAAATCAAGATTTTCCCGTTAAAATCAAGTTTGAACGTAAGGAAATTTTGAGAGAAAGAGATAAACGATGAAACTACGGTTGCACGGTTGCAGAATGACACTCTTTCTTTTTAAAGTCAAACATTTCACCTAATAATCCGCTCAGCGCATTTATGATGCGCCCAGTGGATTACATGCCGCATGTAATAGAGATTTCAAACCACAATCCGCTCCGCGCATTTCTGATGCGCCCAGCGGATCTCAAAACTCTCTGTTTTAGTCGATTAAAAAAAACTGTTGATCGATTAACAGACATAATCCGCTCAGCGCATTTTGGATGCGCCCAGCGGATTTACATTACAAAAAAAAATTTATCTTTATTTACTCCAACCAGGATTTGAACCCACGACCCCTAAGACTCCAACATCACTCCAAAACATATCAACCATCATATATTTCTTGTTAATTTATACACATAATAAGCTTTTCATGTACCCACACTCAATGCATACAAGAAAACAATAATTTCTAAATGTGACAATTAAAATTATTAAGTCCATACTCTTTAAAATTTCAACCTTAAATCATATAACTACTATCGAGCGTCCGAGTTGCTCGCGAAACGGATCAATTTTAAGTATTTTCTAAAAATTCCAGAAAAATTCTAGAAAATCACAAATAATCTAACAAACATAAAACTCTACAGTTTCTTTACCCAATTCCTAATAATTTAATTATTAAAATTTTAACAAAGATTTTGTCAAAATTTAACAAACCAGGGGTATTGAGAATCGGGATGTTACAACTCTCCCCCTTAAATAAATTTCGTCCTCGAAATTTGCGTACTGAAAGGAATAGTTGAGGATAAGATTCCCTCATCTTTTCCTCTAACTCCCAAGTAGCATCTCCATCTCCTGCTCCACTCCAAATAACTTTAACCAAAGCTATTTCTTTTCCACGGAGTTGCTTAATCATTCGATCAACGATTTGGATAGGCGGTGTTTCATAAGTAAGATTGTCTCTAATTTGGATAATGTCTGGTTCAAGTATATGTGAAGGGTCTGAAATATATTTTCGTAATTGTGACACATGAAAAACATTGTGGATGTTAGAAAGAAAAGGAGGTAGAGCTACTTGATAAGCTATTGGACCAATCCTCTTCATTATTTGGTACGGGCCAATAAACTTAGGCGTGAGTTTCCTTGACTTCATTGCTCGTCCAACCCCGAGTTGTAGGTGTGACTCGCAAGAACACATGATCTCCTTCTTGAAACTCTAGAGGCTTTCTCCTTTTGTCATAGTAACTTTTTTGTCGACTTTGAGTTGCTCTCATCTTCTCTTGAACTAATTTAATCTTCTACGTGAGTCTCGTTGCACTAATTCTGGACCTAGAAGTAAGTTTTCACCTGTCTCGAACCAACATAATGGTGTTACGCATTTCCTTCCATAAAGAGCTTCAAACGGGGCCATCCCAATGCTAGCGTGAAAACTATTGTTGTATGTAAATTCAATCAATGGTAAGAACTTATCCCAACTTCCTTTGTGATCCAACACACAAGCTCGTAGTAGGTCCTCCAAAGATTGAATGGTTCGTTCGATTGTCCATCCGTCGAGGATGATAAGCGAGAACTTAGCCGAAGCTTTGTCCCAAGAGCTTGATGTAAACTTGTCCGAGAACCTTGAGGTGAAACGAGGGTCTCTATCGACACAATACTAGCGGGTATGCCATGCAATCTTACCACTTCCTTAATGTACAATTGAGTCAACTTCTCCAAGGAATAACGAATGTTGATGGGAATAAAATGAGCAGATTTTGTCAACTTGTCAATTATTACCCACACGAGAATCGTGACCGGTTGGTGTTCGAGGTAATGAAGTTACGAAATCCATAGCTATGCTATCCCATTTCCGATTCGGCACATCTAATGATTGTAACATCCACGATGGTCTTTGATGTTCTACTTTGGATTTTTGACACACCAAGCAAGTCGCAACATACTCCGCCACTTCCTTTTTCATCCCAGGCCACCGAATATTTTCTTCAAATCTTGATACATCTTTGTTGTTCAGGGATGGATACTCATGTTACTCTTATGTGATTTCTCCAAAATGGTCTTTCGCAATTCACGATAAGAAGGAATACAAATTCGTCCTTTGAAACGTAAAATTCCATCTTGTCCCTTCCACAAATTCTATTTCTTTCCCTTGTTTAACTAATTCCTTCTTCTCACGAGAGAAAAATATCCTCTAATTGAGCTTCTTGTACTTGTTGTAGAAAATCACTAGTGATAGTGAGAGTACCACACGTAACACTTTTGGAATTAAACTCAATTGCTAAATTCAGACTCTGGAATTCTTCGATCAATTCCATTTCTCTCATCATCATAAATGCTACATGTAAAGATTTTCTACTAAGTGCATCCGCAACTACATTCCCTTTTCCAGGATGATACTGCAATTCAAACTCATAATCTTTCAAAAATTCCATCCACCAGTCTTTGACGCATATTCAATTCCTTTTGATCAAAGAGATATTTCGGGCTCTTATGATCACTATACACTATGAATTTTGCTCCATACAAATAGTGTCTCCAAATCTTCGAGCAAATACTACTGCTGACTAATTCTAAATCATGAGTGGGATAATTTATCTCATGTGGTCGCAGTTGTCGAGAAGCATACGCCACTACCTTTCTATCTTGCATCAATACACAACCCAATCCCAATTTAGATGCATCACAATACACTTCAAAATTCTTGTTAGGTTCTGGTAAAATTAACACTAGGTGAGGAAGTAAGACGATTTTTCAATTCTTGAAAGCTAGTCTCACATTGTGGGTTCCACACAAAAGATTGTCCCTTTCGAGTCAACTTGGTTAATGGGTAAGCTAATCGAGAAAAACCCTCAATAAACCGTCGATAGTATCCTGCTAATCCTAGAAAACTCCTTATTTCAGTGACCGTTCTTGGTTGTTCCCACTTCAAGACCGCCTCCACCTTAGCTGGATCAACAGCTATTCCTTCTTCATTAATGACATTTCCAAGAAAATTCACTTCATTTAGCCAGAACTCACACTTGGATAATTTTGCATACAATTGTTTTTGCCTCAAGATTTGCAACACAGTTCTTAAGTGTTCAACATGCTCCTCCTTGCTCTTTGAGTGTATAAGGATGTCATCAATGAATACAACTACAAACTTATCCGAGAAAAGGGTGAAAAATCCGATTCATATAATCCATGAACACAGATTTGGAGCATTTGTCACTCCAAAAGGCATAACCAAATACTCGTAGTGTCAAGTAACGTGTTCTAAAGCGGTCTTTGGTATATCCTCGGATCGTACTCTAATTTGATGATACCCTAATCTTAAATCAATCTTTGAAAATATTTTTGCTCGCGTAGTTGATCCATCAAATCATCTATTCTTGGTAATGGGTATTTATTCTTTATCGTCACCTTATTTAGTTGTGCTGTAGTCAACACATAGCCGCATCTTGCCATCCTTCTTCTTCACCAAAAATACTTGGTGCTCCCCACGGTGACACACTTCGGCCTAACAAATTGTTTCTCCAAGAGTTCTTCTAATTGCTTTTTAAGTTCGAGATAGTTCCAATGGAGACATTCTATATGGGGCTATGGAAATAGGTCCTAGCTTACGGTATCAAATCAATACTTGAATTCTAATTCTCGTTACAGGGGTAATCCTGGAATATCATCGGGAAAAACTTCGAGGATATTCTCTCACTATTGGCACATCAACCAACTTTTCTTCCTTTCCTTCTACCAATAAAGACATTACAAATCCCTGAACTTGCTTCAAGGAAACATCTTCATAATTGGCACTTTGAATCCTTGACATCTCGAGATTATTTTGCTCAAAATCTCTAAACACAATAACCTTTTTACAACTGATCTATAATGACATGGTTGTCGAGATAACCGATCCAATCCCAAAATAACCTCCGAGTCCTTTTAAAGGAAGGCGAGAAGAGATTCACTACAAAGTTTCTACCATCTATACTAATGGGACACTCCCGACATGCTTTTGTAGTGACAATAGGATCATTACCGGGGTATGCACGAGACAAATCAAATGGCAATGCTATAGTAGGCAAATCCAAACGTTCCACACAACTATAAGAAATAAATGAATGTGATGCACACGAATCAAACATCACGAGATAAAGGAGTATCTCGGATAATACATGTACCTCCAATCATCATGTCGGAGTTAGATGTTTTTCTCCGCTCATTGCAGAAACTTTACCATGAGCTTTTGGCACTGCTTGCTACCCCTCCACCAGGATTTCGGTTGTGATAGTTTCCATTGCCTCCATCTCCTTCCTTCTTAATCATCGGACGAGTCCACGGGACATATGCCCAGGCTTGTTACAACTAAAGCATATTAATGGTTTTACTGGGCAATCTTTTCTGTAGTGTTCTCCTCCACAAGCAAAGCATTTTCCTCTTGGTGAGGCTGACATATAGTTTTCACTATTACCATGGTTATGAGAAAACTCAATTGTGGGTCCCCTTTGACGTTGTGGTCTTTGATATGGTTGTCGTCTTCCAAATCCTCTCCTTTGATTGTGTTGAGGCCCATAGTTCTTCGTTCCTGAAGACTCAGAATGGTGTTCTCGAAACTTAACAATCCTTGCCTTATGGTCTTCTTCAAAAATCCTGCATCTGTTCACCAATGTAGGAAACTCCTGAATTTCCTGCATTCTTATGGCTTCCTTAATCTCAGGGCGAAGTCCATTGACAAACTTCACACACCTTGACCTCTCATTGATGGCATTGTGGTAGTGGGGATGATATCGTGAAAGTTCTTCAAACTTTGCCGCGTACTCTCCTACATTCATGGATCCTTGTGTCAGTGCCAAGAACTCCATCTCTTTCTTCTCTCGAACATCTTGTGGAAAGTACTTCTCCAAAAATCTCGCTTGAAACAAAGGCCATGTAATCATTATACCTTCCCCCTCCAATCTTTGTCTCACTCCGTCCCACCAATATTCAGCATCTTCTATTAATGCATAAGCGAGCAAACACCACCTTATCATTCTCTCGTGCATCGTAGGGCACGAAAAATCTTCTCCATTTCTCCGAGCCAAACTTGTGCACCTTCGGGATCATATCCTCCCTTGAATCGAGGAGGGTTCCTCTTCTCAAATAAGTCCAATCTCATCAAAGCATCATCACCTCGAGGAACACGATCTCGTTGCACTCGAGCTTGTCGATCCTGCTCCATTGCGACAATTAGTCTCTCCACCGAATCAGCAAATCCGGCACCTCGTCCAGACCATTGATTCCTGGTAATCGAATCAAATTCAACTAAGTTATCAGGAAATCATCATTGATATTAAATCATGGTAATTTCCTACATATAATTGTCCACAAAGAGTGCACAAAAGCCTAAGTAGACCTTTCCCCAGGCCTAAAGGGTCAAACTGCTCTGATACCACTAATGTAACACCCTACCTTATAAACCCTCAATCAGGAGAATTAATAATTTTTTTAGTAGAATTTTTTTTTTAACCGATAATAATCTTTCCCTTGTACATAATATTAATATACATAAATTTTCAATAATACATTCCTGCATTTCATCATTTTAAAAAGTACTAAAAGTAAACATTCATAATTACATATAGATGAAATATTAGTACAGATCCTCCAAAATTTAAAGGCAACATTTGGGATACTTCCTACGAAGCGACTAACTACACAAAATAGTGAATACTACTACTCACTACCACCGTAGGTCTATATACTATAAAAGACTATCTATAAAAGTTTGGATATGTTTATCCCAATACATGTTGTCGGCATTGTGGCTCCCGGCTAACGAGTATGAATATCATACTCATCGGGTGTGGAATACTGTGCCATCTCCCCTCTCTTCAAACAATGACCGATCAGGTCCAACGAAATACTGCAAGCACAAAGGAAATAAAGAAAATAGAAAGACAAGAGGGTGAGCAACAGTTCATACATCATTTTAAAATCAACATCATAAACATTCACAAGTTAATCAAATTTCAAATGATTGATGTTAATGATGCATGATCCTAATATGTTTTCTAAAATGTTTATGCATGCGAGTCCGAATCATTTCTCAAATCGATGCTGGGGTAGCCAGGAGTTGACACTACTAGGCATGGAAAATCCACCCACGGGATTGTTGAGACCCATGCTCAAATATAAACCCGAGTAGCTCACCGACCATTGATATACGGTAAGAGCACGATCGGGTATAGCGAGTTTGTACAGGTGGGATCCCCGAGCAACGGGTAGCGAGCCCGGGTCTTTTGGGGCCTCCAACCACTACCCTTCATATCCTCAAGTCCTCCCTCAGGGCCTCCCTATCGTATTCTCAGAGTCCATAATCTCCGATTCCCCAGATTTCACAAATCACCATTTTCAAATGAGTAATGTATGAGTCCCTAAGTGGTTTTTCTTAGAAATTCACATTTTTCCAAAAATTTGACAGAGTTTCTCCTGTAATACAGACTTCCCAAAAATTTCCAATCACCTGTTACAAGCAGAAAACTTCCAATACAGTTCAAAAAGGGTTCACAACCCATCATCCAATTCTTTCAATTTAATTTTCAATGAATTTTCTCATGAAAAACCACCATGCATATAAATGCTCACTCAAAGACCATACATATCATAATAGAGTACCAAACATATATTTTACACCATCATACACGTAAGCAATTCATGATCACTTTCACAATCAAGCATATAATAAAATCAAAATGATCAATCATAACAATTTAGACAAATTCAACAAATAAGGTCAAACAAGTTTATGATGTAATCCTTACTATATAGCCCACCCCTTACCTGATACGTTCACACTTATTCCTTTCAAAGCTTGATGTTGTATTTCAGCAAATCTATATACGTAATAAAATTCTAGTTAGAATCTTATATTTCTATGATTCTATCTCATGAGAATTTAAATTCATTCTGTATTGCTAATCCATTTTTAATAATATTTTAAGCTCACATTCAGCTTACAATTAACTTAGAAATTATCCTATTTTGTAGGCACTTAGAGTAGAAAGAATCCTAATAACAACCATGGACAAGGTTTAGTATTTCGAAATTTGCTAGAGTTATATAAACTGTTTTGGCATGAGATTTGAGCCAAAATTTCAATAACTTAATTACCTACAATATTGATGAAGGAAATAAATTCAAATATCCTATAGAATAGATGCAGTTTTCAGTTTTCAGTGGTTATTTCCAACTGGGCTCAATTACAATAACACTCTGAACATGCCTTGGTAATTTGACTATAACTCATGCTAAGCATAAGCTATTAACATGAAACAAATTTCTAAATTTCGGGGATATAATTTACTACAACTTTTATGAAGGAATCCAGTCCTAATTTCATACGTATCAATCCCAGTAATTCAAAAACCGAGGCTGTTGAAACAGGGCAACATCTTAACGTCACAGCTAGAACACTTGACAGTACAATAGGTATAACTTGATCTACCAATATCCGTTTAATGTGAAATCAGTTTCTAAATTTCGACAACTTAAAGAACTACAACTTTCATGAAGATACCGATTCCTAATTCTGTTCACACAAGTCCCAAAAATTCAATAAATAGTACCTACGAATTAGGACTCTTAAAGTTTTTAGTTTAACGACTTCTAATCCTCAATTTTAAGCATCATTCTAGTATTCTAGGTGTAAAACCTACAATAACACTCTTCCTACTTCCATTCAAGCTCATTCAAGTGAGGATAAAAATAGAAAATGCACCGTTTTGAAAAATAAAACGGTAAAAATGTAGAGGAGTTTGAGATAAACCAACTTACCTCTTGGAACTTCTCAAGAAAATCAAGATTTTCCCGTTAAAATCAAGTTTGAACGTAAGGAAATTTTGAGAGAAAGAGATAAACGATGAAACTACGGTTGCACGGTTGCAGAATGACACTCTTTCTTTTTAAAGTCAAACATTTCATCTAATAATCCGCTCAGGGCATTTATGATGCGCCCAGCGGATTACATGCCGCATGTAATAGAGATTTCAAACCACAATCCGCTCCGCGCATTTCTGATGCGCCCAGCGGATCTCAAAACTCTCTGTTTTAGTCGATTAAAAAAAACTGTTGATCGATTAACAGACATAATCCGCTCAGCGCATTTTGGATGCGCCCAGCGGATTTACATTACAAAAAAAAAATTATCTTTATTTACTCCAACCAGGATTTGAACCCACGACCCCTAAGACTCCAACATCACTCCAAAACATATCAACCATCATATATTTCTTGTTAATTTATACACATAATAAGCTTTTAATGTACCCACACTCAATGCATAAAAGAAAACAATAATTTCTAAATGTGACAATTAAAATTATTAAGTCCATACTCTTTAAAATTTCAACCTTAAATCATATAACTACTATCAGGCGTCCAGTTGCCCGCGAAACGGATCAATTTTAAGTATTTTCTAAAAATTCTAGAAAAATTCTAGAAAATCACAAATAATCTAATAAACATAAAACTCTACAGTTTCTTTACCCAATTCCTAATAATTTAATTATTAAAATTTTAACAAAGATTTTGTCAAAATTTAACAAACCAGGGGTATTGAGAATCAGGATGTTACATCTCAAGCCTAAAATTTGAGTGAGACAGTCGTCCCACTTCCCAGACGGTTGTCCCAAGGTAACCGTTGGTTCGAGACGGCCGTCCCGACCTTCCAGACCTCTCCTATAAATAAGGGGCGTGGATCCTTGCGTTTGCATCCCATTCCAAGCATTCCATCTTGCTTCTTCTCCCTTTTTACACATTTCTAGCATTCTTGAGTGAGTAAGGCACAAAATGGAGCGTGGAGAGGCTTCCTCTAGGAGGAAACTCACCCAGGCCTCCACCAGAGGAGCTCCCATCACCAACACTCTACTGGAAGAATCACATCAACTGAGGCTGGCAAACATCCAACAGTATTCCTGGCACCCCATGCTACGTCTGGATTTTGAAATCCTAGCTACATTTGGCTGGGATCAAGATGTCAGAAGGTTCATCCAAAACATAGGATGGGATTTTCTACTTCGTGAGCCACCCTCTAGAATCCACCGTACCGCCATGCTGGAATTCCTAGCCTCCGTCACTCTGGTGGATATGCCATCTATGACCCCCGGCG